CAAGCGTTTCACTTGGCACTACCCACGTCGGACTACGAAATATAACAATGTCACATGATGATGGTAAGTCACGATGAGGTCGACGATGGAGCATGCAGTCCTAAATAATGCCTATTCACTCTCGCCTTGAACAGGCCAAGTTATACTGTTCAGAGAACAAGTCAAAAGGCAGGGAATTCGACTCCATAGCCGTTCGCCAATGACCTCTATGTCACCTGATGTCATAGGTCATGCCCAACAAGACATCTATTATAGCTGAAGACCATACCACGTAGTCAGCAATAGTGTTTGCGTTTCTACCGTATTATAGGCATCTAAGCAATGTATTTCGTTTAAATTCATAAAATTATGTCACTCTAGTCTTCTTTCGTACAAGATTTTGGTTTAGAGTTAAATGCTACCTAGATATACGTATTTTTTTAAATTTTATAGATCTATTTTAAACATCTTTAAAACAAAACACCTTTATTTGCAAGAAATTAATTCGTTATAATTCCGCTACGTGACGCGACATTGCGGGGCGCCACGGAACGGAATGACGCCAATTTTTGTAACGAAATAGTATGTACATAGCATATTGAACTTTATCTCTATTGATTAACGTATAAACTAGATAGGTACGAGCCAAAATACAGGTCGCGCATCTTCCGAAGCCTTCTCACACATTCTAATAATGTAAATGGAGCCTATGGTATAGAGTGATCTTTTAGTTTATAGTCCCTTAAACAGTGTAATAAAACGTAAAAGGAATTCAAAATGGATTTTATTTGCATGAAAACTGTGAAATGATAAACAATGCAATATTTACAGTGATTTTAGAGTAATGAGGCTATATAATTATGAACTTAACGTTGTAAAAATATTGCTATTTCTATATTTAATCTTATTGCTACAACTTAATACTTACGTAAATTATCAAATTAAGAGGCCCAAAGAGAATGCTTAATAGTAAAAAAATCATTATAAAAAACTATAATTTAGTTAAATGTTTCTTTTTAATTAGCACAGATAATGAATTTTTGATAGTGTACAAAAAATAAAGTCTATTGCCTCACAGATGTATTACATATAAATATAAATAAATCAACATTTATTTGAAAAACATTGATTTTTACCACATGCAGCTGAAATTGAATTTGTAAAAGTTATTTCCTGTTCAATTTTGAATAGATATATGCGTAGAGTTTAGCATATTGAAAAAAATTTGTTTGTTTGTTGTTTATAAGTGCGATGTAGCCGTATACTTGTAATGAGAGTTGTAGCATTCGTCTTAGGTCTGTACCAAGAAAGGCAATGTTTACGTGACGTTAGTACTGAGAGAACCGAGATTGCCTGAATAAATTTAATCAAACAATAATAAAAGCAAAGAAATTTAAACTTAAAAATAATTCATAATCAACATCGTAGAGTTACCTAACAAATCAAGTTATTGTATCGAAAAAACACTCCCTTATTGCAGTGCACTTGAACATTTAGTCATGCCGACCACTATTTCACTTGAGAGCAAAAAACCACCATTGATTTTTAAGTTCCGATACAAATATTCAGTTTCTACTCACTTGTAAAAGATGGTTGGCTGCCCCATAACAAAAAACCTAGTAAGTGCTTTAGACAAAATTTTGCAGCTGAGCCCAAAAACGCAAATCAAGGTCGCCCTTAAATTATTAACTTAAAATAATAATATTAGGTAAGGTACCAATCAACAAATATAATAATGTCACGTACATGATCACAACACTCGATGCCTTACTTTCTCAAACATAAAAAGATTGATTATTCAGGAGATAGCAAAACTTTATTTTAAATTTCTTATCAAGGATGTTAATTTGGGTGCATTACTTTAAGAATAGGTAAAAGTCAGGGTGTGAAAATGAAGGGAATATGATGTGTAATCAGCCTGCAATAGTTTTATATACAATCCATTTTTTGCATTTCAGTAACTTTGTGCATTAAGATACGAGTTTGAGAAAGTAAGGACGACTTATATTACGTATTTTATATCCCTACTAACTTCAAATATTTAGTAAAGTTACTGTAGCAGCCGTAATCAAAACACAATATAAGCATTTGCTAGGTATTTGTTTAGGTAATTGCATTAGAAGATTTGGAATGAAACTTGACTTCATTTGACTTATTAAATTAATAAAACCACTAATATTTTCAGTGTCAGTAATGTTCCACTAATTGCCAATTCAAATACCTTAAAGGAAGCCACTTTTACTACTTTAGAACCCAGGAAGTGTCAAATACTTGCTACGTTTTGAATTGTTTAAAGTGGCTTAAAATATTTTTGGCTAGTCACGAAGTGTGCCTAACTTGGTTTTAAAGTTCCGAAATCTCTGATAAATTGTAGAATTTTGAAGCGGCTGTCTCCACCATTGGGTGAGTACTTACTATGGGAGTAGTATTCCAAAAAATTTGTTCCTTACTTGGTTTCTGGAGCAGCCGTGGCAATAGCGCGTTTTACACAGACATTCTATCGCACGTGGTACAGCACTCGTGCGCGTGTATAGACGTTGGAAGGAAAAGGGAAAGACCGCGCGACTGCGTTCATCAGTCACGCTCTCCAACTCGCGCCAGTTTCACGCGGTCTATCTTGCGCTATTAGCCTTTACATGGGCGCTCTTTCCGTTGTAACGAAAAACGAACACGAGCAAACGCGCGCGAAAGAACATTAGCTTAAAAAAATTTCAAACAGGTAATCGCGCACGATTGCGCGTGCAGGCTTTAGCGCGCGCAATCCTGTACGCTCCTGATCAAGCGCAATAGGGTTACTGTGTAAAGGGTTCTAATGACTCTTAAAATAAGAGAAGTTTGTAATGTGGGAGGAGAATTTAACCCTTTCATGGATGATACTTAAAACAAGCGCACACAAAAATGTCAGTGCTTTTCTTGCCATAGTGCTTATATATATATATATATATATATATATATATATATATATATATGGTGACAGGCGCAGTTGCATTGCCCCTCAGATCTTTGGACTTTAAAGCTCTGAGTGGCACTGCCACTGTTATGGACAGGCGTGTCGCAGCTTATGTATAATGTACTTTACGTCAATTGTGTAACATGCAAAATAGATAAGAGCTAAAAAACAAGTTGGGCGTCTTCCGGAGAATTCTCGCGCTACCGTCCTACTGGCTACCGTCTCGTACTATTTCGTTACGAAATTTAGCTTTCATGCCATCCCGTGGCTATCTAAATTGAGCCTTAATAGCTTTCGTACTATTTGGAAATCGTGAAACACTAAAAGAGGGCGCGAGTCGGGCGCATGTCGGGTCGGGAGCACGACTGGTGTAATTTATATGGACGACAATACGCCACGCGCGGGTGCGTGCAGGTCGGGCAGGACGCGCCCGACCCGCACACTGATAGTGTGTTTCACGCTTTAATGTTTAACATTCTTGTGTTAATGAACCCTTTGTGTCTTATAATTATAAGGTTGTTTTATCACTGCAACTAATAACTGATATATTGTAAACATCACTAATTACAACTCTCGAGTTATGACCAAGAGAGAAAGAACTGTAGTAATATATCAGATTATTCACTGTATTAAAACATACCCTATGCCAGTGGAAGTTGCCTAAATTGTGTATTCTTTGCCGCTTGACTCAAACTATTTTTTCTCCTCACAATTAAAGTTTTCTTTTTTATAACAAGTGACTCAGAGGTTTAAATTGCAAAGATATGAGGGGCAAGTATAAGTTGACAAGTGCCATGTGCCTGTAATTTCACTAGAACCCTTCAAAATCGGAATGCAGAAATAGGTAAAGTGACAGTACTTCCCTGGACTATAGCTTTCATGAGGAGCTCTACTGCTACTAAAAAATTACACTAAAATGGTAAAGGGCCTAAATGGTATTATATGTTGGTAGAATTAGTAATTGGAAATAGCCTCAAACATAAAAATCAGTAGTGGCACTGTATTTTTGCTTTCAAGTGTAAGTACAATGTTTAATTGCTCTACTCCCGTCCCCTGGAGGTCTGATTCTCTATACTAAATAAATTAAGGTATTGGGTGCTGGCTGGGTGTGAGACCGCCATGTTCTGGACTGTGTTTCTGCTTTTTTCTTTTCTTCTCTTTTTTTCTCTTCTTGCGTTCCTTGTCGTCATCGTGACGCTTTTGTTTCTTGTGCTTCTTCTCGTATGTGTCTGGGTTTGAGGAGTCTAAAAATACAGAATAAAATAAACACTCTTTATTTGCTTTCAGGAACGATAAATAAATAATTTGACTTTGAAAACAAAATAATTACACTGTTGAATTGAAAATCTCCTTTTGGATTGTTAGTTAAAAATATGTTGGCAGGACTGAATGAAAGAGGGCAAATTTGAAATCAGGACAGATTTCTTTAAATATTTTGTTATAATTTGTTTTTAATATATTATAAACTGCAACCTAATAACACTTGACGAAATCAAAAGACAATGTGACATATAAAGTTTCATTCGCATCATGCGCCCTATAACCTTGATTGAGTATTACATATACGAGGTGTGATCAATAAATACGGTGAATAAATTTTTATACCGGCAATTGCTGATGCTACAGCCATATGTTGTAATTTGTCCAGAAGCGTGATCAACTGAGACAGGCAGCGACAAGTTGTAACACGTTCGAACTTGTCAGTCAGCTGCCAGAGCCGCTAGAGTGAATGGGCCAATGGCTTCCTTCTTCACCATGACAATGCGCCGTGTCACACCTCGCTTCTCATTCGTGAGTTTTTGGCAGAAAAAAATGTTCCTGTCTGTCCACATCCGCCATACTCACCGGATTTAGCACCGTGCGACTTCTGGCTCTTCCCAAAAATTAAAACTGTGCTTAAAGGAAAACGTTTTGATACCATTGCTGACATTGAGAGGGCCACGACCGAGCAGCTGAAAGCCCTTCCAAAAGATGCCTTCCAGAAATGCATCCAGTCATGGAGTCAACGTTGGAATAAGTGCATTGCAAGCCAAGGACAGTACTTTGAAGGGGATTAAATCAGATTCTATGTAAGCGTAATACTTTTTTTAATATAACATTATTCACCGTATTTATTGATCACACCTCGTATGACAGTAATTGTTTTGGATGAATGTCGAAAGGAGAAAGCTGCCATCTGCTTACTAAAACACGGTTACATGATAAAATAAATTTTTGAGATATCATAAAAAACCACAACCCAGTTTTAGAATACTGAAACTGTTTAATGATATTTTATGCACAATTAGGGTAAATTCGGATACGTTGGACACATTAACTCACCTATAACTGTTTTTGAATAGAGAATTTTGAGCTATCTCATACTATTTAAAACGCATATATGACTTGACACTATGCCGTGTCTTAGTTATTGCACGGCAGAATGGATGTAGAGCCGTTAAGGACACTGAGTTTAGAGCCCATGATGAGTTAAATATTGTATAGTAACTTACCTTGTAAGGGTGTATCCTGTCCAGGTGGAGCCCCATCTTTATGCTTGTGTTTCTTATGTTTGTTCTTATGCCTCTTTGGTGGAGTGGCACTCACGTAGCGGTACTGTTCTGGCAAGGGCCCTGGGTGAAGTCGGAACCCTGCTAGCTGGGCACTGGTCAATGGCAGCAATTCCTTGCCACCAATAGGTCTCTTGGCTATCACGGAACCCAGTGTACTATTGTCCTCTTGTCCAGGACCATCCAAAATACCGGGAAGATTCGGTAGAAAAGAGGACAAGGATTCCTTTAACTTTTTCCCATTAAATTTACTATATGAGTGCTCTAGTCCATAGTGTGCCATTAAATTTGTAGCCCCAGTCAGTTCGCTTTCTCCTGAAAAATAAAATTTCTATTAAATCTGTTACTAAGCCTTGTATTGCACCAAAAACGTATTGTTACTAGTTCACAACAACAAAATGCCAAATTGTAACAAAATGTAAGTTTAGACTTACCTGGAGGCTCTTTCATCAAATAAAATGGTCCACTATGGACTATTGACGGGTTTTTGCCCAGCGAGATCGTGGTCTTCAGAGTGCCAGACGAATCCTGGCGAGAGACCACTGGTGACCTCGCACCCCGCGGTGAAGACTTTGGAGAATAAGGTTCTACTTTCCTGAACTGATCAGACATCATCTTGTTTCAGCATTGTCTACATAATAAACATAAAAGAAAGAAACTTCGGTAAAATAATTTAACAAAAAGTAAAGCGAAACCCTTCCTTCGACAAATATTTTGACAACTTCACAAACCATAGCCAAAAAGACTACAGGAGAAGAGGGACTAAAACGAATCATCCATAGACAAAATAGCATAGCAAACCATATCGGACTACAACTATTATCGGTCTTATGGCTTATATTTTTTTTGTTGAATACTTATTTAGTTCATTATTTTAATAAAATACTGTTTACTTATAAGACATTAAATTAACATGGAATTACGAGATTCTACGTCATTACAATGTCTATGACATAAGAACCAATACCACGTGTTTTAATCTGCGCCTCAGAAAAAAGCAAAATTTAAAAGTAAATAATTTACGTCTATGGTTAATGAATAGCTTCTCGCAACGCGCTACGATATTCGATAATTTGTTTGGAAATAAACATTACAAAGAGAATAATTTCAAGTGTTCGTGATAATTTATGTAATATAAAAGCTGAAAAATGTGTGTGTTCAAAGACATAAGTGGTAGCAAACTGCTGCAAGGATTTTGATATAACCATTCCTCGCTCAGCGAAGTGACGCCATTTTACGGGAATGACCAGCCCGCGGCTGCCTCATACTGAGCCTGATGTAAGAAGCGCTCTGCCCAAACGGATGCATGGAAACGAATCTATATTGTTACACTCGTACTGGACGTACGATTTCAGAGGTATGTCGACAAAAACATTGGTTACCATTTCGACAACCATTATTCAAATCATTTCGATTTCCTCTTGGTTGAATGTCTTTTGTTTCTCAGCGGTCATATAAGCACGTGGTTCAATTTTTCCAGAAAACTATGGACGATGGTAATTTCACCAACACAAAAGACGAGAAAACTGCCCAAGCGTCATTGGCGAACCTGTATAGTGATCGACCAGCAAAATTAACCACCAATGGACATGATTTCGTTGGGGAGTCGTCCAGTCCCACTGCCGAGCCCTACGAGCAGTACAGACCGGCTCCAGAAACTCCGCATGACGACAAGGCGAGGAAACGCATTAACCCATTGAGAATACACCTTGGCAAAAGACCATTTGTTGACAATTCCCCTCAATATTATGGTCAAAGCAAGCAAAAGAAACCTTGTGTGATCAAATCCAGTGATTCAAGTACACCTTCAATACCTAGAACGCCTAAACTAATTCCTAAAAGAATAGACCATAGATTTCACAATGTTGCACTACAGCAAGACAGTAGCTTATTGGAAAGTGAACGAGACAAACCTGTCCCACGGCTCGTGCCCAAAAGCCAATTGTTACAGTTCAAAAAGGGTAAGGTTGAAAAACAACGTCAACCTCAGCTTAAGGAATATGCCCAAAACTTGGGCTTGCAACCTATGGTGAAGTTTAAATGCAGGAAATGTTGTTCAATGTCATTTAAAACACTGGCTATGTTGAAAGAGCACCAATTAGTGTGTCGTGCACAATCTAAAGAGCCCACTTTAAGCCCAGAGGCAGCACCCAGTGCTGAAACACATACTGGAGGACCATCTAGAGTGACAAGAAAAGTCTACTTGTGTTCAGCATGTGGAACTTACTATGAGAATTGGAATCTGTTTCTTCACATGAGAGAAATCCATAACAGACACATATGTCTGTTCTGTTTAGGAATGTTTTCAAAAGCAGAAAAATTGTCCTCTCATCTGTCTAACAAACATAATGTGAAAGAATTTACCTACGAGACCAAGGAAGAAATTTTAAATGTTTTCAATGGGACATTGTATTTGATGTGCTGTGCGTGTGAGGAAATATGTAGTGAACAAGATGATTTCTTCAATCATGACTGTAACAAAATCAAACCTAGACCTGTGCCTGTGCTTGTTAGTAAAAATGCAGTGAAACCGAATAGTGCAAAGCAAGGGAAGGGTGGCAGTAGTAACGAACTGTCAGCAAATGGACCTGCTGCCATTAAAGAACCTCTAAAACTAATTAGTGATAAGAAAGAGTTCAGTGAAGTGGGACATGATATAATGTCTAATGCAAATAAAGTTCCAGTTCCAATGGCTGGCGACTGTGAGCCTACCATCAGTGACACAAGTATTTCTTCAGAATCATCAACAATTAGTAAAGATACAACAAACCCTCAAGATACCATTATGGAATTAAGTAATTCATATTCTAAATCAAATGCAAGCACCATCCAAAAGTATGCCTACAGTCCTGAACCAGAAACAAGTAGAGATGGCATGCCAAATGGTGATGAGAGCATGGAACATTCAGATGGCAATGAGTCGCCAATCCCTGATGATCTGCCAACAATAATCCATGCTGCTTCAGAGAAACCTGAAGTACCTGCTTTTCCCCCTATAGAAAAAGAAAGAGAGTGTGGCATCAAGTTAAAACTGAGTTTAAATAATGCAAAGTCACCTGTCATAATAAATTCTACTGTGGATCCTACTATTGGACAGAATTCTACTATTGGACAGCATAAGGCACATAAACCGCCTACACGCGTCCGGCGTCCGCCAAAGCGGTATGAAAAGGAAAAACCACTAATATCTTCTGCATTACCAAAGACACCTACTATCAAAATGACAATTTGTGATAAAGCTGACAATCCTTTCATTAAGACTACAATATATGAAAACAATCAAGAAACTACTCTTAAAACACTTTTGAATAACAATTTAGAAAATTTAGCTATAACCTCAGACAACAAACCGGAAAATACAATTAAATCCACTATTTATGATAATAAAATTGATGATGAAAATTCTTTGAACAGAGTTCCAAAATTGACAGTTAGAGTTCCAAAAGAACTTCTGGACAAGGATTCGTCCAGTGACTACTCTTCAGACAGTGATGTCAGTGACAAATTAACAGTTGATGAAAATAAAGTAGCAATAGATGAACAGAACAAGGCAACAGAAGAAGCAATGCTAGAGTCACCAACAGTTGCTGGGATACTTCAACAGCCCTTAGAGGAAAGTAAAGAAGAAACATCAATAGTACTAGTACCCTCAATAACAGAAGAAAAAGTACAAACTGTGCATGAAGATGTAACATCTGTAGATGAACCTCTGACTGAACCAATGGAGCAGGATACTAATATTGAGACCAGTCTTGATGATCCACCTCCAAGTGATGAGTTGCCAGTTACTGAATTGTCTTTAGATAAACCTCTAGATAAATATCCCCTAAAAGAGTTATTAAAAGTATTTTTGGCATCTACATTGTACAACTGCATCTACTGCAATCATGCTCGCAAGATAGCTGTAAACTGTGAACAGCTGTCTTTGCATATGGTTGCAGAGCACCGTTTTTCAGCAACTGTGGATAGTATTACTGCTGAAGAATTATTGCCAGAAACTATAATTGCTAAAGTAAGCACTGGAGCAGAAGAACTTAGAAACATCTACATCAATTTGGATTCTTATGATAGTGAAGACAAATGTGGAGATTTGCCATATGACCACATATTTGAGTGTTTTCAATGCTATTTTAAGACTCCAATACACAAAGATCTCTATTTACATAATCGCAAAATGCATCAAAAAGCTATGATACTATGTGTAATGTGTAAATCTAACTTTTATAGCTATAGTGAGTTATTATGTCATTTATGTCCTGGAACATATGATTCTGATTGTGACATTAAGTTTAGATGCTGTCTGTGTAATGTAGACAATATACCTTCATCATTTAGGTTAATGGTACATCTTAGAAAGATGCATCACACTTGTGACGTTTGCTTGGAGTTCTGCCACAATCAAGTGCGCTTATCCAATCATGTTTGGAAGCATAAACTTCGTCACCTATGTTATCGATGTGGCTTATCATATAGAAATAAACCAGATATTACAAATCATCTGTTCTGGAAACACGGGACGCAAAGTGTGCAGTGTAAAAAATGTCTGCAGAAAAAATGGCCCCATGTATATCACTTTTGTTCACCTCCTGCTATTTTCATTTGTGAGGAATGTAGTTTACATTTCACAAAAGCAGTTTGTTTGAAGGTTCATAAAAGGTTCCATTCTGGTGACCTTCCACACATATGTACGGAGGAAGGATGTTCTGAAAAGTTTGTTTCCAAAAAATTGCTTATGAAGCACATTGATGAACACAGGAAGAAACTATTGATTGAAGATTTATGTGAAGACAAACCAAAACCTACAAATGAGACAATTGAAGAAACACCCAAGGAAGCAATCCCTATTATCGATTTAGTTGATGACAAACCTACAGAGGAAGCTAATACTTCTGAAGTGAAGGCTGAAGCTAATATCGTGCAAACATCTAAAAAATCGAAAAAGAAAAAAGTAAAAGACAAGGATACCTTAATGTTAGATGTCAATCTACCAGAATTAAACTTATCAGAAAGTGATAGCAGTGACGAGTCAGACTGTGGAGTGGCTCTGCCTAAATCTGTTACTCAATCACCACCTAAGAAAGAAGTTGAAGATGTAAAACCTGTGGTGGAAGAAAAACCAGCAATTATAGAAACTCCACTTGATGACAACAAGAAATTAGAAACTGAAGAATCAGCAGTAAAAGTTGTGCCGAAAACAGAAACTGTAGAAGAAGAAAAACCAGACGAGAAGCAAGTACTAGAGATATGGGACAATTTCAAAAAATACCAAGAGAAAGTAGAAAAACCAAAGGAAAAAACACCACCACTAGTTCCCATAAGGAAACATGTTTGTGAATCTGATCATGATTATTGCTTGATACCTACTGATTTGAATGGCGGCGATGACCCATACAATTTAGATAAAAAGAAAAATAAGAAATCTCCTAAGAAAAGACATGGTGGCCTCTCGTCGTCAAGCAGCAGCAGTAGCGATAGTGATTCAAGCTGCTCTTGTGGTTCAAATTGTAGTTGTTCTTCTAGCAGTGGTTCCTCGTCGTCTAGCTCTTCCGATTCCGATTCTTCTGATGAATCAGGCAATGAGAAAAAGAAAAGCAAACAACAAAGAAAAAGAATGTCCAGCAGAAGACTTAGTAATGGGTCTAATGTAGACGTTATGGGAATTTCTGAAACTCCAATTTTGATACCAGAGAAAACTGAGCCTCCAATTGCCGAAACTGATTTAGAAACCGACGAAAGTGAAACAGACGAAGAATTTTATGATGAGGCACCTCATAAAATTGCTATGAAATTATTCACAGAAAAACGCAATCAATTGATGATGTCAATGGCTCCATCTGATGCTGGTTCAGTTTCTGGAGAGGCAAGTCGTCCAGTAACACCTATCAAGGAAGAAAAACAAGCAAATGAGGAAATGGAATCTAAAGAGAAATCTTCAAGTAGTAAAAAGAAAAGTAAGAAGAAAAAGAAATCCAAAAGTTCCAAAAAACGTGGACCTATCAAAATTAACATTCCTAAAGATGTTATTGCTAAATCTGAAGTAGAAGTACCACCACAACCACCTTTAGCTCCTAATAAAATTACCATATCTTTGCAATCTAACACTGTCCATATACCAGCCCCACCTATTAATGAAATTCCAGTCACCAGCGCCGCCAGTGCTATCCCAGCTCCTATTGTAGCAGCACCAATTGAAAAGAAACGTGCTTCAAAAAGAAGACGAGTTCCTAACAAATTTTACGGCTATTCTAGTGACGAAGAAACGCCGTCAACTCCAGTTGCAGCATTAAAACCACAACAACCTCCAAAATTGGAATGGAGGAAGGAAGACTTACCATCTCCAGTGTCACACAAAGCAAAGAAAGAAGTACCTTCAACTATTCTACCATCACACAGATTGTATAATTATTCTGAACCTATGACTATGAGACTGACTGCACCAATCCCAGATCCTGAACCACCGAAAATTCTAATGAATTCAGAATCTATGGAGTCCAGCGACACAGATTCGAGTGACCAAGGTTTGGAGATTTACCAGCCTAGTAACGTGCACGCTTCTGTACCAATTCCACCTCCTAGCTACTTAAATTCAGGTACTTCTAGTCTGCCTTATCCTTTCCAAAGGCCAGCTGTGCGGCAAGCTAGAGAGGGCGAAAGTGTTTACTGCTACTGCCGCTGCCCGTACGACGAAGTGTCGGAGATGATAGCGTGCGACGCTGAAGGTTGTCCCATAGAATGGTTCCACTTCGAATGCGTTGGTATCATGGTACCGCCTAAAGGCAAATGGTACTGTCCCGAATGTAGGAAAAATCAAAGCTTCTCAGGTTACAGATAGTCTGTGAAAATTACTTGTATATAACCTACTGTATTGTTAACTGTATATAATTTATTTGTAGATAATTTAGCTTTACCTGTATATCTGTGTAGGTAGTTTGTATAAGATTTAGGTTAGTAGGACCGAAAAAAATGTATCATTGTTAAAAAGTACATGTTACATGCTTAATACCGGCTGTGCGGCCAATCTGTAACCTGGCTGGCATATTGTTACTGACATTAACGTATACAGCTAAACGGAAATATAAATCCGATTTTTGATACCAACATTGTAATTTTATTTCTTCACCATCCTAACAAAGGTAGTTCAAGCTAAGATTCCAGAACAATAGTTTGTCTGAAATTGTTTGACTAACTACATCAAGGTTAAGGAGGCTGTTTATTATTACAGGAGTTACAAATCATTGCTACCACAGATACTAAATACAAGAACTAAAAAATCTGCTACGAAAAAAGTTTCGATGCAAAAAATTGCAATCTTCAACATGTAAAGTTATAGACACCCATTGCGAACAGCATAGAGTATTTATAATCATTTTTTTCATGGACATGGACTAAAACGTGGTTACGTAGTGATTTTGTACTCTTTGGGTTTATCAGCTTTGGACTTTTTACGTTTGTTTGTTCAAAAATTCTTAACTTTTTTTATGAAGTAGTAGAAAGAGATTTTCAAAATTTCGGCAGTCATAAAAAATTTAGCAATACGATCATCGAGAACCGTACTAAATTTCACCTTTGATATGGATCTCACCCCGCTTTGCTCGTTTCCTGAAGACTGTAACAGATTAAATAGGTCTTCTACAAGAAGTGGTGAGTTCTCTTTCACTTTATTCACTAAGCTTTGCATTGTGTAATTGGTGTGGCATCGACCAATCTCTACAGATTTCTGTGGTAAGTATCGGTTTCCTGCAAACACTGCTGTTCCAAGAACAGTATAAGCCACACCTTTACCATGTTACGATTGTAATGCGTGAGTTTAATAGTCTGCATTTACCATTCGTTAAGATTTGATGAAGGTCTACGTACAGCGGGTGGGCAACTTACCAACTTGAAAGTAACGGCGTTTATAGTATAACATTTATATGGTCGTACGTACGTTAGCCGTTAGATAAATATTGAGTGTAATTTTCGCTAAAGACCCTTTAAATTATTTTTAAATAGGTTTCTATAGGTACATATAAGTAGTATACCTTTATTAAATGCCGACCTTATTTACTAAACTAACTAGGTTGTAGCAATCTTCTATAAGATAGTAGTTTTGTACAAAATCGACGTACGAACATTTACAAAATCTTGTATTTGCAAAGGAGTCACAACACTTATCGACGCTGCTTGAGCCGGTAAGAAAAAGTTTTATGTCCAAAACGACACGTCGTTTTTTTTTCGACAATTTTATTAATTTATTTTTAATTAATGTAATTCAACCAATAATTAGCAATTTTTCGATATTTTCAGACAAGTCTAAGTTGTGAATAGACAGATTTGGGCGCGCGTTTAGTGTACAAAACTATAGAAGATAGGTCTAATAATACGTCTGCAGTGATTCCAAGACTGGATCGACTAAGGGTCGTATTCTAGAACTCCGCTCAGTGCTCAAGTCAGGATTTGAGTATGGTTTAAAGCACTCGAAATCATACTCAAGTACCTGCCATTAGGGTCGTATTTCCGGTGTTTGTGTTTCCATTGCAATCCCGACTTGAGCATTGAGTAGAGTTCTAGAATACGACTCTCAGACTTTGTAAAATGGGGCACTAAAGGATGGTCCCATACAAAAAAATACACATTTTATTTTTTCCTACTAAACTATTACATTTATGGCAAAATGTGCCATGACAAGATTTAATATTGGCATTTTTTAAAGAGGTATGGTGAAAAAAAATCCAGTCTCCCCTATATTGTAGATCTGCCCCACTGTGTGACGTCCACAACAGGCGAAACGCTATTTGCCAAAACCTTTTTCGCTGTTATTGTATGGACATAAAACATTTTCTGATTGGCCCAAGGCCAGTTCGCGCCGATAAGTGTGATGACTCCCTAATACAGTACGTAGCCCATGCTTGTACTCACAGAGGGCATTGTTTTGCGAGTGGGTGGAAACCGGATCTGGCAGCAGTGGAGATCACAGATCCGTTGTTGTTATGATGACTGCTTTGTTAGCAATACATGTATAGGTGCTATTTCATGTGTATATTTACGCCTAATTAAGAGACGATAAACTTTACTATCTTTAAATACGAATTATTAATAATAATTAGAATAATATATTTATTTACGTTACATCTACTTCTTATGATTGAAATTACTGGTAGAGCAGAAATATACAAAATTAAATATCTGATAATTATAGAGGTTGACTGTTGTCAAGCCGTTGGAAGCCTAATGGTGGATCTATCGCCTTTAAAGGCCGTGGGCTCGAATCTGGACTCGCATCTCTAACTTCCTCATTTTATTGGTGAAATTTACCATGAGCTTCTCGGTGAAAGTAAACATTGTGAAGAAAACCAACACGTGACTCGGATAACGCGTGAAGTCCCCAACCCGCATTGGTTGGGGACAAATGGGTTGATGATTATGACGAATAGACGTTTCAGATATCTACTTGAGTAAATCCAAAAAGTCTCACGATCACCTCCTATATAAATCTATAATACCTTTAAATTATGCCCATAACTAGCAAGTAGGTACCTAATCAGTCACCACTACAGAAATGTAAACAAATCCTATTTATTTAGATTGCTGTGGTCACCACCATGCTTCTGCACTGTGTCTAATTTAAAAAAGAAACATTAAAGTGAGCTTTAAGTCCGTTCCGTCCAGTATACATTGGACTTCTTAAGTCCGTTCCGTCCAGTATACATTGGACTTCTATAATGATAATAATGTGCTGGACGACCACTCAAATGCAGGTCTCAAACTAGGGATTTTTTTATAACGCAAACACTCCTAGTCCCGCACTAAGGAAACCCTATTACATCGCGAGTGCTATGGACACACACATAGACAACCACAAATTACACCAAAATTACGAGAGAAAAAAATGTAGGCCATACTTATATTCTATTTATTCTTATACTCTGCGTGGCAGATCAAGCATGGTAAGCGTGCGGCCACAGAGGCAGTTTGCCTAAGCTATGAGTACGTACCAGACCAACGGAGTTGACTTTGGCGCACAACCCAGAACACTCGACTAAAACTAATTCAGAAAAAAACCATTTACCAAATTGATCCCAACAGGAATCGAACCCGGAAGCTTCTCGTCGAGCGCTCACAGAGCAAACCGTTGGGCCACAGAGTTCGTCAAATATACTTTTTTTTATAATATCAAGTGACGGGATGAACAAGTTGTGCCCCTGGCAGTAAGCTACACGCCTGTCCATAACAGTTGCAGTGCCACTCAGAGCTTTAAATCGCAAAGATTTGAGATACATTGTGCCCGTCGACACCCTAATGAGACATAAGTTGAATAGTTGCATGTACATGTAATTTCACTAGCACCCTTAGGCCGCATTTATTTGACACGAATTTCAACGCGCTCACCCGGTTGTATTATTCAGAGGAATTCAAATATTGTTGCCTAGTAAATAGAATTCCGATTCGCCATTAACGTATGTACACGCAAGCGTGGTAACTGGGCGATCGCCGCGAATAAACGCGCGAAAAATTTCGCGTCGTGTAACTGGGCGCTTACCTTCAAAACCGGAACACAGTAATGCTGACATGACTGCTTGGCGGCAGAAATAGGTAAGGTGGCAGTACTTCCTTGGGCGAACTCTTTGATAAGGAGCTCTACTGCTACATATACTAGCGGGTAGCGCAGCAACAGTGTGCGCTTTCCTCTGCAATGTAACCCTAATGATATTTTTTTAGTGGCAGGAAACCTCCTTGTGAAAGAGTTCGTCAAGGGAAGTACTACCACCTTACCTACATATTTCTGCCGCCAAGCAGTAATGTAAGCATTACTGCGTTCCATGCCCCTCAGATCTATGCGATTTAAAGCTTGATGTTATAAAAAAATACGGGTTGTTCCACGGCTATGCGACGCGAAGGAAAAGCACTCTAAATATTAAGTATAGATAAATAATTTATGGTGTTCTTTATAAAAAATAATATTATTACATAATTTAAGATACTATGTTACTTGACGATGACCATCGAGTATATAACCAGAAATAGAGACGAAATAAGGGCCATCCATCCCTGGCAACTCATCAGGCAAATGGGCCTTATATCACTTTTAAATATCAACTCTCGTTTACGCCGAAACCACAAATTAGAAAACTGAAATAGTTCAGCGCCAACTACTGACTTGTGTGTACGTCTCCGTATATTCCAAAAATATTCTGTATTTATTATAATAAAGATAATATCTGTGGCAATGGGGGCTGTTCTATTCGGTGGCTTGGGAAAAACAGCAAAACTTCTAATTACAGAACAAACGGAATCACATTTCATCGGTCACTAAATATGTAATTTTTTAATTTTCATCCATTAAACAAAGCTTAAACTGGTCGATTTGAAGTGAAATAATTGACGACACCCATCAATTTCGAATTCGGGCTGGCCAATCGAAGCGCAGTTGTCACTGTAATGATTTGGCAGAATAGTTTTCAAACAAATTAAATGACTATCTCTATTTCTGACGACGATGAGACGATGACTTTCGATGGGCATCATAAAAATACAGGCTGCTTTTTTATAATTTGTTCGGTTCAATTGCCAGATAAAGAAAGCAACTCGCCTGCTTATCGGTATTCTACAGATGTATCGCGGAGAGTGTGCGATGAAATTGCATGATTTAATTCTGTCTTCCCCTTTCCAACTACGGAGGACTATAGACATAAGCTATGGTTCCATCCCTAAGTTGTGAAATTCCAAGGCTTCACACGAAGCGTTTCGCTTCTACATTTAGATATCTGGCGAACGGCCAAGCAGTGGAATTCCCTGTCTACAAACTATTCCACAAACGCTATAACTTGGGCCTTTTTAAGGCGAGAGTGAATGAATAGGCATTAATTAGCTGCGCATGTTACATCGTCGACCTCATCGTCATGTTCCATCAGGCGAGATGGAGGTCAATTGCACGCTTATTTTTTTATTTAAAACAAACTTTAAAAGACACTCTGTATATATCGGATTTAAATCGTTGACTGTCAACCGTGACCATGTGACCTGTAAAGGGCCCGAAACGTCGGTTTGTTTGAAAAAACAAATATACGCGATTTAAATCCGGAAAAATAGTTTCATTTCCGACACTCTGTATAATTATTTTGAAATTATGTTGGTATGTTTCGTTTATTTTTAGTCCATACTCAATATATTTCTCTCTCTCTCTCTCTCTCTCTCTCTCTCTCTCTCTCTCTCTCTCTCTGTAGAATTGATGTTACAATACTTTAAAATGCATAGTCAAGGCGTTACAAAGCAGGCGCGTGGTGTTCTCTTTAATTCAGTAGTGCTTGCATATTCATTATTGTACTTGAAACTACGCACTACACTCGGCCCTTAGCAAACTCTATGCCATCCATGACTATAAGTATAGATGGCGTGTTACCCAGACACTATCTGCTACAATACACTTGTATTAATATTAATAATGCTATTCTTTAGCACGTTACTTCAAAGTTTTCTTCAACTTTTAGGGAGTTACGCTACTGCGTCAAACCAATACACTGTAATATCAATAACAGCATTTTGAGAAAAGGCTGTAAAAAGGATTTTTCAGGTTTTTGGAATTTTTAAAGTCAATAACTATAATGATAGATTTATTACTGTGCACATAATAAGCTATTTATTGAAAAACGCGTGAATTCCTTTTGCCTTGTTAGCAGTCGAAAGATGCTTGTTACTGTACTGGAACAGTTTTGGTTTGACACGGTAGAGTAGGTCCTGTACTTGGGACCAATAATTGCCCTTTTTTTCAAGAGCATTACGGTATACCAAAATGGCAAACATTCGTCAGTAAGTGCGAAGTAGCACAGAGCAAAATTTGCCCGTTATTGTCCTTCATTCTTTGTAGCCGTTAATTAAGACAATTTAGCGGAGCAGGTCGCAACAAACAAGTGTACAGCTCTACATTCACACAAATTGGCGCTAGAAATGTAAATTTAAGAATATGTAGTACCTTCTTCATTTTTTTACGAATATAACAGATTTAGGGTAAATGTAAATTAATAAATTCGATTTAGAATACATGTCAACAAATAAAACAATACGACCCTGGAAAGGTATAACGTGTAGGTAACATGCGTTTGGACAATATTGCAAGAGAGCGACTTAAAATTTTTTTTTAAGAAAAAATATAATTTAATAGCTGTATTTTTAAATTAGCCGTATCATTGACCTGGTTTCACGACATGCAGCATGTTAGCTTATCAATAGGCTTGTTAAAAATAGGAAATCTGCTTTATATAAACATAATTAAAAAAATGATAAAATATTTTTGCACAAGGTGCAAAATTATTGATTGATTCGATCTTTGTATTCATAATCAGAGCTGTACTGCGATTAAATTCATTCGTTCATTATTTACAGACGATAAAATGAATGAATGGTGAAACATAAAAGCAGCTTGTCTCATTAAACTGCAAAGAGAAATCAACAATAGTATGTGTATTGTATAAAAACGCAGAAGGCAGATCATGTTCCTACTTACAGTACATTCGGAACGTAATGCAATGCATACCGATGTTAATGTACGGTCAAGTGTTTCACTGACCTAGCTTACCTATGTAAATTCCAGTTAGGCAATCAGTTTCGGTGAAGGAAAACATCGTGATGAAACCTGCACGTCGAAGAAGGTTCACAACCCTCGGAAAACGTGTGAAGTCCCCAACCCGCATTGGGCTAGCGTGGCGGACCATAGGCCGCCACGCAACGAAAGGAGACCCGTGCCCAGCAGTGGGACGCATAAATGGGTTGATGATGATGATGATGATGAAAATCAGTCCGTAGCAGAGCTACCCTAAATTATGAGCATTAACAAAAAATGTTTTTTACACCTGTCATCATTGGTTGACTAGCAACGTTGTTGTTATTAAACATTCCATATCGAATTTGGCTAGAGTATAATTCTGCCGACTTCGGTGGCCAAGTGGTTGTTCCTCCTACGTTCCTACGTTCGATTTTCGGCAGTACCTACAGAGTTGAAAAACAAACTTGCTACTGGTCTGACGGTAGAGACCCGCAGGTAACTCCGTTACGTAATAGGTAGGGTTATTTCTGCGCCAACGCTAGCCGATTTAGTAATCAATACACTGGCGCCCTCTAGCAGGAGCGCGAACAAAACGGAATACTTACAGTTAAATTTTTCCCAGTGGTTGGAAATTCGAGTGCAAATGGTGCAATAATAAGTGATCTTGGGAAGCATAACCTTTTTACTTCGCTTGCACCGCGAGTGACGCAAGCTCCTGCACCTGAGTGCGCGGCACATCCTGCACCATAGGTAAAGGCTGGCACTGCGTTATTTGGCACATTATTATTTAAACAGGTGGCGTAGCGTGGGGGGTGCAGAGGAAGTCATGGCCCCGGGCGGCATAGTAATAACAGCCTAACTAGTTAAAATTTTTTTTTTTTACTTAAAATTTGAAAATAAATTCCACTATTTGAGAAAACTATATCCTGAACAACGCAAAGATGGCGAGGGCAAGCGAACATAAAAACACAATCGAGACGAGACTCCCCGAACGATGTGAAAATAGAAGGGGTCAGCAAATTTACGGTTCACTCTGGGCGGCAAAAATCGACGCAACGCCACTGCTATTAAACGCGTCTGAGCCCACTTGAAACTGATAATGTCGTTTGATTGCTGTATTTAGTGAAACCATAATTTTGATAACATCTTTATAAAGATGTTCTTTCGCATGTGTCGTGAGGAATTCGCGTCGTGATAACTAACGATGTGCATTCTGCGAATCTTTTATATCTTAACAGTGGAACCAAATTCAATTTTTCGTGGTCTTGTGAAATGGGATTAAACATAGAATTGGACGTCGCTTTTCGGGAATGTATTCTATACAAATCAATGCTGTAGGTAAACAGCCTCTTTTATTAAACATACAATAATATCACGGGGGGCATACAGGTCTTCTCTTACAAAAAGAGAGCTTCGACTGTAATTCAATTTCATTGTATTTAGATTTGGGAATTTCACACACATCACTAAATTGCTTTTGGCAGATGTGTGCCGATTTCCTCACGCTACCTTCAACGAAAAGCTCATGGTCTAACCTTCAAATTAAATTTCTTTTTTTTATACCAAGCGACGGGACGAACAAGACGTCCACCTGGTGGTTAAACGACATGCCTATCGATAACAGTCGCAATGCCACTCAGAGCTTTAAAATACAAAGATCTGACGGGCACTGCCACTGCGCCCGTCACCGTGAAACATAGGTTGGTAAGTCTCATGTGCCTGTAATTTCACCAACATCCTTACTTTTTAAAACCGGAACGCAGTAATGTGAGCATTACTGCTTGGCGGTAGAAATAGGCAAGGTGGCAGTACTTACCTGGACGATCTCTTTCATAAGGAGCTCTAAACATTGCTACTTAACTATTGTTTTCAGTTATTGTAGGGATATAGGCATTGACTTACAATTATATGGACGTCGGGTCCGCGCTAAAAAGTGTCCGAACTTATAGGGCGTTAAAATCATATACAGAGCGTCATTCACGCTTTAGTCTTCGTTTGTTCGACTGACAGCGAAGCAAGCAAAATTAGACAGTACTGCGATGACATTACAATTTAAATTCAACGTTTTAGCTTTTTCATATTCCTTTACATGTCACTACGTTTAAATAGGTTGACTTGGGACATTTTTTTCGTGGTTTGTGTATTAGACCCGTCGTCCATTTATTTGTAAGTCAATGGATAAAGGCCGTAAAATGAATCTTTATTATGCTTCCACTTTGCATTAGGACTTGAAATTGGGTATACTTACTATCTAATCCGATGACACCACAATAATATGGTAACATTAACCTGATGCTGGAGCAAGGACAGCCTGCAGACTACTTCTCTTCAACTACGTACAGCGCAGAACTTATAGGTTTTTGGGCTTACTGAATTGGTCTCGAAGAGTAGTTATCTTACAATTTTTTTTCTTTTTTCGAGAACCACAACACCTAGCTTTGATGTGATTACACTTTTTGTGTCGTGATTTAGTGGGTTCTAGTCGTAAAAAACTAGATTTAGTCGTTACGCCGTTTTGAAGTTATTAAGGCGTTTTACTGTCCACGCTGAAATAAGCTTATTTCGGCGGCACCATTTTTGAATCTCGAGAACCTCAGCTTCTAACTTAGATCTGATTGCAACCAAAAATAGTCGAGATTGAGAAATGGTGCCGCTGGAATAAGTTTATTCCAGGGTGGACAGTAAAATACCGTTATAACTTTTGAACGGCGGACCGACTAAATCTAGTTTTTTGCGACTAGAGCCGAGTAAATAGCGACTTTTTCTGGCTAGTCAAATTTCAAAAACTCGACCATGGTCATGAAAATCCTCCTTTCACCTTTCACCTCAGTATGGTCCCATTCCAATTTGAAAAAGGATGGCAAATTAGGGGACGGAACCGGTTGATTGGACTTCACACACTTTCCGTGAACCGATTTCAATAAAACTTAGCGAACAGGATTCCTTTTTTATGAAATAATAATTGGAGTACACTGTTTTGTATAGGGGTTTTTAAATTTTAATTTATGTCATATCTAACGTCACCATACGTCCCGCTTTTAGGCTTCGTGTCCCGCCGTCCCAAAATTCTTAAATGTGTCCCGCTTTCACAAAACAGAACACACATAACAATATATTTTTAAAATGGCGCAAAAGCGAAAAATATGTAAAGCCAGCCTACCAGATATAGAGCACCAGACTACATAAGATTACTTATTTTTTAAATTTTTGATTCATTATACAATTTCAGTTCTTTTTATTTTTTTGTCTCGTAACACTGTCATATTTTTTTTAATGTTTTTAATATTGGTAGATCCTAATGGGACTCCATACATAATTATGTAACTATTATAAGATTATGGACTGTATCTGTCTCAAATAAATTAATTTTGATTTCATAAATTTGTGTTTCATTTTTAAAACAATAATAAATTTACAGGCGTCCCGCTCTGAGGGAAAAAAATATAAGTCACGTTAGTCATATCCCATTGCTACAGACCGCAGGATTCATACACATGGCATATATAAAGCCTGTACGGAGTGTGAGTGTGTGTACTAAGATATGACCGCTTCTTCTCCACAGATACTAACGCTAGGAGATTGAAACCAGATTCAGGACTACGAACCAAAACTGTGAAAAGGGTGTTATCGATAGGTGCGTATGTCTCTCTAAAGCGGTAAGTATACCTATATATTTGTAGCATTTGATAACTATTTCGTAATAAATTAATAGTAGGCAACGGGTGTTGTTTTGTGTATTTATTTAAAACAAAAACCGTACAATTCTCAAATGTTTATAAATGCGTATCAAACACACTTTTCTTTGAGCACGTTGAGCTCTATTGAGCTTTACGTTATATTACCAAGGCAATTCTGAACCATCATATTGCAAGAATTTTCCACTATCTTCCTCTCTCAGCTTAGAGATTGTTTCGAATATACCCTGGATACTGCTGTCCACATCAAGAGGAGCATTGCTGCCTCCCATGTCCGTGCGAACCCACCCCGGGTGCATTGACACCACCAGGATTTTGTCCTTCTTGAGATCTATACTCATTGACTTTGTAGCTGCGTTTAGAGCTGCCTGAAAACGAAGAATGAAAGCTTTGAAACTGGTAATTAAACTATTTTTTCCAACGTTTCGGTATAGTGTAATAAATAAGACAAGCATGGTAACTCCATACAAACGTATCAGCGTGGCTTGTATGTGTGCGCCCGCACCCGCTGCGTGTCGTGTACGAACGCACACATTCGCATAATCTTGCGATGCACTCAGGCGGCGACTGACCGCATCATTTCGGCGTAACGTAACACGAGTATTGTATACATATCTTTTTAAAAACAATGGAGTGTGACAGGGATAAAACTATGTTATTTATTGATAAGTATGTAGAACGTACAAATTTATAGGACCCTTCTGAAGCACGACTTCGTCATCCGACATTTGGACTCCGAATGCGGAGCAGGGGGTCTACTCTCGTCCGACATCCGTCCGAAACAATTACTGTCAAGTAAGTAATATTCGACAAAATTAAAAGACACGTATCAAGCTTCATTCGCATCACGCGTCTTTTCATTTGGTCAAGTATTGCTTATTTGGAATTAATTGTTTCGGAAGCATGTCGGACGGAGATCGAGGGTAGACCCCCATGACCGAGCGCAGAGTTCGATAATCTCAGTAAAGAGTACTAAAAAAACCGACCTCAAAAGTACGTGGAATTACGTTTATTTGCTAAGTTTTGTTGAAATATCCCCTAGTTCGCCACTATACAGGACTTGACACTGGAGATAATAAAAATCGGTTCTCACTACTCAAAGTATATTGAGAGAAAAACGCCTTGAATTGGAGAAATACCAAAATCAACCATTAAAGAAATTGCTCCTAAATTAAAGTTAGGCGCTATTTATAAAAATGAATCTTCATGCGTGAACAGCCACCCTTCGAGCTGGATGATTTTCTTCAAAATGAAATGGGACCACTGTGGAAGTACCCCCTTTCCAACAAAAGAAGAATCATGAAAATCGGTTCACAAATACCGGAGTTATCGCGTAACATACATACATACATACAAAAAAAAAGAACATACAATCGAATTGAGAACCTTCTCCTTTTTTGAAGTCGGTTAAAAAGAGCAATGATACCGGTTAGTACGCCGAAATGATCCGGTTAGTCGCCGCCTTTCGAGTTGCGCAGCGCTGGTCGTCTCACGCGCCTTTCATTATTATCGGATGTGTGCTTCCGTATACGCGGCGCGTCGGGCGTGCACAAATACAAACAATACTGCTACTTTGGATGATGTTACTATACTACTTGTGTTATTATGCTATGGTTTCGGGATCTTTACATTCACGGCTGACTGCAGTTGTCCGTTCGAAACCGTATGATTTGTTTGAATAAACAAATATACGCGATCCAATAAGCAGTAATGAAAGCTACTCGACTCAAAAGTTGACAGTGCAAAATTATAATCTACGATCGCGGCTTACTGCAACCAGTAACTACCTCCGACATTTGCTTCAGAAGTGTTTATTCGTGTAAGTTAGTATTCAATGTCAAAGTGAAAATGAGAAAAAATCGCCTGTAAATTAACTGAGGGATGGATTTGCCAGACATCGAAGCAACAGTATAGACCGAAGTTTAATGGGTTTTGTTTGTTAAAAAAGTACCTTGGAACAGCGGTAAGGATAGAACCCGCCCTGGTCATTCTGCGCAATAGACCCAAGGATGGAAGACATGTTGATGATGGCAGCTCGTTCCGTGCCCATTGGTTTGTCGCTATTCGCTTCAGACGCCTGCTTCAAATGTGCTAGCAAAGCCTGCCGACATAATTTACATAGTACAGTTTTGTAAAGTGAAAAATAATAAATAATAATGTATGGTAATGAAGAAAAGAAAAGAAGAAAATACATTTATTTGTTTACCACAATGACACCACAAAAGACAAAAGACAAAAGAAAGAGAAATCGGAACAAAACAGAACTAAAACAAAACATTCAACGTAAAACAAATATATGTATAATTACGAAACAAAAACACAAACAAACACAAAATAAAAATGTATATACAAAAATTAGATAAAATTAAAACATGAACTATTCACACAAATAATAAAAAGATGACTAAATATTGAGATACCTTGCGTGGTGCCAGCCGCGGTAACGAAAGGGTCACAAACTCAGTATTTGCTGGAAAACGCAACGTGTTCCCAGCACTGATTTAATGACCCAGAGATTGAAGTTTGCAGAGTATATTTTACAAAGAAGTAATACACATAGAGTGGTTAATACCTCCCGCTGAAATTTATTTATTTATAAAAGTAATGTAAATACAGTTATGTAAATACATGGGCAGTTCAGATGTGAGTCCTAAGATACGCATGCAAACTAATTATTAAATGTTAACATCCAGTAAAAAATATCTAAAATCTTCGAAGTAATTACAGCAGATATCCATAAAGGAAATGAAACTTTTTTTGGATCTAAATTGAATAACTAATATAGGCGATTTTGAATCCAAAAAAATGTTTGATTTTAGATCGCGAAAACTTATTAGAGAAATCCAAATGTCAATTATAATCTTAATTATGATGAACCCTAGTGGTTTAAATAAAATACGACTTGAAACATTGTTGCGTATTACGAGTATATGGTAGGTAAATAAATGGAAAAAATCATACACTAACTTAATATTAATTTTAATAGACATTTTATATCCGCAATAGGTCAACAAGGCAAAAGAAAAGAAAGAACTATATGTATTTTTTATGTTTAACCTGCAATTACTTTACAACGGTTGTGTTTATTTAGAAGAAAACTTTTGTAATTATAAATAAAATTTATACCTACACTGTTTGGATTTTTTACCTTTCATTACAACGGTTGTGTTTATTTAGAAGAAAACTTTTGTAATTTAAAAAAAATTTATACCTACACTGTTTGGATTTTTTACTTTTCATTACAACGGTTGTGTTTATTTAGAAGAAAACTTTTGTAATTTAAAAAAAATTTATACCTACACTGTTTGGATTTTTTACTTTTCATTTTTAATATTTCCTATGGAGGTTTTATCCATTCTATGTGTATTACATGACACTTAGGTAAATATCAACTATGCGATCATTATTCGTCCAATCTACTTAACAGAATATCCCTATATTATAAGAACCCTCACTCTAACCATTGTAGGATAGAGCGGACCACCACCTCCAATCCGCCAAATTAGACCGGCTTGGCAGAGACAAGTAGGAGACGGAAGATGTGTGTCACGATTAGAGCAAGTGGAAGGCTGTAGTTTCTGCCTGCCTTGAAGTGTACAATATGCATGTGTACTCTGCCTAATCACAATTGTATATTGTGTAATGTATTTTCACAGGACGTAGGTACAATAAAGGTGTAATGGTCAAAGTGACTGCGTAGCCTACTTTACAATGTTTTATCTAAAATTTCTTCGAGTGGTACGTATGTATCTAAATTGAAGAAGGGTATATACACATTACAAAACTAGCTATTACAGTTGATTGCTATTGATCGATCATTATCACGTTCTTATCAAGTTTTATTACAATTTTAAATTAATAACTACCTTTGTGAGCATGATTGGCGCGACGGTGTTGACTGTAAGATTGTCCAACAATTGTTCCCTTTTCACCAGCGCCAGTTTGGTGAACTTGGTGGTCACCCCAGCGTTGTTCACCAACAGGTTCAGTCCGTTACCGCCCACCACTTTTTTGATCTGAGACGATATTTCGTCAAAACTCGACGTGTTTGTTACATCTGTTAAGTTTAAAAAAAATGTTTAGGTGCTATGCTGATAAAAACCACAATAAAGTTTTAGAGCAATGAATATAATCTTTTAATTACCTAAATGTAAAATGTGAAGGTTTGCATTCTCTTGTTCTAATTGTTTCAGTTCCTGAAATTCATAACATTGTTTTATTAGAAATTGTTTACGTAAAAAAAAACGCGCAACGGCCGTGACCTATTATTCCCTGTCCTGGGGATTTACTTCCGCATCAAGAAGATTAGTGCGCTTGACTCAAATGTAATAACACGTGTGAATTAAGGTGAATTGTAACAAAAAAAATCGTCATTATAATAGTTAATTTCATTAAAATGAAAATTGTACACATTCTATGAAGTCATCAAAAAAGTATACGTCATGGAGGCGTATAACGTTTTCAAGGTCGATGACGTCAGCTGACTGTCAGCCATAGTCGAATGCCATCTTTGTCCCACACTCGCGTTAACTACAAATAGAGTTTTTCCGTCTTCACGCTGTTATTTTAACGTGAGATATTGTGCATTTTGGTGTCTTTATTAATTATATTAATTAATAATTGTGTAAAAGTGTGAATTGTTCAGTTTAGTGATAAAACATCAGTATAATGGCACCTATAGGTAAGTTATAAAACTGACACATACCTCCGAAGTATTCCGATTCCGGCAAGTAGCGAATATTTGGTATCCTTCATTCTTTTTCGTGAGATATTTCACCATCCCGAGCCCCAGACCTCTGTTGGCACCGGTTATTAGTACAGATTTCATTGTGTAATTCTGTGGTCCTTTAATAGTTTCTTTATTGCAATAGTTTTTCTAATAAAAATATAAGTTTTTCCATACAACCTATTTACATGGGCACCCGTACTGTACTTTAATGTGAAGTTTCTTGTCTCTGTCCTAGTTATTTGTCAAAAATGACAATCATTCGTAATTTTGTAAGGGTAAATTTTTTTATACGACAGCCAAAACAAGTCTCGAATTTCTTGATAATCGCTCGACGAGGCTATGTGAAGGGTAAGTCTAAATGGCTTAATCAAAATTCGACATGCAACTCGGAGAGCGGTACGTCGTATAACCTCACTTTGCTGAGCGTGCTACTTACGTACCAGCATTTTAATCTGTTCTCTTTTAACATAATACCTAGTCACAGGAATAGCCTATGAACATTTGATGACGTGTGGTTTTTTTTAAATTTACGAGCATTGAAAAGTACAAATTTATCCACTTGGTTTTTTTACCTTTGCCTCAATGTCTTCCCTGTTCACTATTTTAATTTTCAACTATTACATTAAATCCCCTCTACAAAGCAAAAGTTAGATCTCCTACTTAATATTGAACTTTTGATGACAACAGGCGGATGGATCTGTTGTAGCCGTAAAACCAAGATGGTTGCTCCCATTAATGCTCTCGACAGAGGTATGGTTATGTGATTTATTGGGGGTTGTGTTGTATAGGCTTCTTTGTAACTCACATGCACCGCACATACACTTGTCTGTAAAACACATGCTGATGGCATAACACATATTGTAGATGGAACATTCGACTATGATCTGGCAGTCATTGGTGGTGGGTCTGGAGGGCTCGCATGCGCAAAGGAGGCTGTGAATCATGGAGCCCGTGTTGCGGTGCTCGACTATGTGACGCCCTCTCCACAGGGCACCAAGTGGGGACTTGGAGGCACTTGTGTTAATGTTGGATGTATACCGAAGAAGTTAATGCACCAGGCTGCATTACTTGGAGAGAGCATACACGTAAGTAATTTTATTTTATTACATTAATAAGAAATTAATTGCTTCAAAATGTGTTTTTATCCATTATTGTATGTGAATATTGAAGTCTTTGCTTTGCTTAGTTGTTTATACCTCTGGATAAAGTATTTGAAAGAATTTGGTCAAAGTCAAGTGTTATCATTATCATAAAACTAAAGTATATTTCTGCATTTTGAAGCAGTCAATTGAAACAATTTATCTCCAGAGCTTCACCAAGTACTGTTCTTACAGTTTAGTTTTTGATTATAGCATTTGGTAAGTGGAACCAATACCCTGGCCTTCCCTGAGTCCTGTCATCCTATCCTTACAACTTGGATTACACCTGAAAGAGGGTAGCAATTTCTATCTTTAACTTTCCTTGTAATCTTGATTATCTTTTTGGCTGTGTATTTATAACATTGTTGTAGATTTTTTTACGTTGTAACATTATTGTAGGTTGATAAAGATATAAGTATAATATACTCTCATAAGTTCCTAATATTGAAGTTATATGTCATTGAATTACAATTATATGGATGTCGGGTCCGCGCTAAAAAGTGTCCGAACTTTTAGGGCGTTAAAATCGTATACAGAGCGTCATTCACGCTTTAGTCTTTGTTTGTTCGACTGACAGCGAAGCAAGCAAAATTAGACAGTACTGCGACGACATTACAATTTAAATTCAACGTTTTAGCTTTTTCATATTCCTTTACATGTTACTACGTTTAAATAGGTTGACTTAAGACATTTTTTTTGTGGTTTTTGTATTAGACCCGTCGTCCATTTATTTGTACGTCAATTTTATAGGTAGTTAAATCAGACTTAAATTTGACAAGCCTAATTTCTGACAACCATTCATCATATTTGAAATTGTAGCAGATTTGAAATATCTCACCAAATATCTGCTGTCCACTTAAATGTTTACCGAAATGTTTATTATTTTTCCAAAGAAATAATAAAAAAAAATCCTAAAAAGAGAATTAATTGGTGAACATGCTTACAATATTGCACCCCTCATGGAACAATCGCATAAGTGGAGATACATCTAACATGTCTATTGCTCCATTAGATACAGAAAAATATAATGCACATCCTCTCCAATTCTTGTAACTATCTGCAATATTAGACGATAGATTTACAGGAAATTAATATTAAATTACTTTTTTCACATAACTCCACTGATGCCATTCTTCCATGAGGGATGTGAAGATGAGTATGTAGAATAGGTACTTTAGGTAGTATGCACCAAAGCACTAACCAACTATCTACATGCCTTGTTACTTTTGAATTGGCTAGATGTGGTAGTGTATATTGTAGAAAATACCTACTAGATTTTTCGTTGCCTCTATGTGTAGAATAACTCACTTTGATTAACTGTAACCTTTAGGGAAATTTATCAGAGTAGCGTATTTTCAGTTTAGTACTTCTTGATTTGTAGTTCGTATCAAAAACCTTGCATCAATGAGTTATATTTGTATATGAACAAGATGTACATACAAAACGGTTGGGTTCATGTAGTCCAATTCCAAAAATGTCATACTACGCGAATGTCTAATTATCCGTATAATCCATCCAACTGTGCCCATATCTAATTTCACGAATGTTCAACTACGCGAATGCCTTTTCTGCTTTTAATAAACGTAACTTCCGAGACTTCCATTGCGACTAATCGTAAAATTGTAGTGCATATATTGTACCTGCTTCTCATATAATAGCAAGCAAAAGAAAGAAAGTACGAAAGCACTTTTCACACAAAGAAATGTTCTAGGTCATTCAGAGCATTTCTCACCGCTTTATAATATTCTTTTATAATATGTTGAGTGTGTGCGTTATTTATTTATTTATTTATTTATTTATTTTATTAAATGCATCTTTCGACTTTCACTTTTATATAAGGACACTTATCATACATGTATGAAACATGCATGTAAAATGTTGTTGGTTAAAATGCGCATCTTATCTTGGGATTAAAAATTGACACTTTATATGATGGCATTTTATCTCAAAATTTTGACATTTGTTATGATGGTGTGTCATGAAAATCACGTGTACAATAGAACTAAAACATGAACATAAAATTTTGTTAGTATTTCAACTAGCAAGATGCGTATTTTAAAGCATCTTGCTTTGGGATTAAAAACGGTATATCGTCTCAAATTTAACTGCCTCCGTGACCGAACGGTTACCATGCCACGCAGAGGTCCCGAGTTCGACTCCCGGGCCGGGATAGATATCTGTATGACCTACATTTATTTCTCTCGTGAGTTTGGGTGTAATTTGTGGTTGTCTATGTGTGTATCTATGGCACCCGCGATACAGGGTTTTCCTAGTGCGGGACTATGTTGAGTGTGTGCGTTTTCAAAAAAAACATTGATATGACGATGTATCATCAATACATAAAAATATCGTGTACAATAGAACTAAAACATGCGCACAAAAGGTTGTTGGTTAAAATACGCATCATAACTCTAGGGTCGGCGGACTAAAGCACATAACTCAAAATCCAACATCATTCATTTAAATTAATACATCTACCGGCTAAAGCACATAAGTGAAATTCATTTGTTATTTCATAAATTTCTAACTTTATTCTAGAGGTTATTTAACTTCCAACACTAAAAACAGCACAAAATAATATTTTATTATATATTAACAAATGAAGCACTTTTTTGACATAATGTGCTTTAGTCCGCCGACCTTAGAACTTGGGATTCAAAATTGACACTCTATATGATGGTGTGGTGTATCGTCATAAAAATCTCGTGTACCATAGAACTAAGGGCGCGTTCCCGTTATGTCGTAACGTTTTATTTACCGTTTGACGACTGTCGCGCCTAGCCTGTTCCCATATCGCGACTATCTGTCGTGGTCGTGTTGTGGACGTACATTTTATCGTTGAACGACTGTCGTGTCTAGCTGTCTCCACTGGATCATGACGATAATTTATCGGTTCACGGCAACCGCCTTGTCGTTTGCACGACAGAATCGTTTGAAGCTGCGATTATCTGTTGTCACATTTTTATCGTGACGTTTTATTTAACGTCTGACGATTGTCATTCTAGACATTGTCACTACAATCTGTCGTCGTAACGTCAAAAACTTTGGAGCACAGGTTCGTACCTCGTGCCGGAATCTGTGTGTTCTGTGTCTGTTCGCGATTACATCTATGTCAAACTTCTCAAGAACCTTGAGGCAACGAGTTTTTCTATTTTATGGCTTCTGGTTGACACAGGAGTTGCACACATAGTGTACTGTTGTGTCTACCGCTCGCACACTGGATATCAGGAGACGACCGAGTTGTTCCAACGTCTGATGAGGCTCAGCTCAGGTACACACCGGCGCAACTAGTCATTCTGGGGGACTTCAATGCTCACCACCAAGAATGGTTGTTCAAATACCAGATGACCAATCACACTGGGAGAGAGTAAACTTGCGTTAACGCTAAGCCTTTCCCAGCTCGTCAGTGGCTCCACCAGGATCCCGAATGTTGAGTCTCATACTTATTGCTTGGATCTTCTGTTAACAACTGATCCACAACGATACTCTGTACTCGATTTGGTCCACTACCACCTTGAAACCGACAAACCGCAGCTGCTGTTCCTCACCGAAGCGCCAGTGCGCATACGCCCAAAAGAGGTACTTAGAACTCGGCGGAATCTAGACGTGAATAAAGCTAGCGGGCCAGATGGAATTCCAGCAATAGTTCCTACGTAACTGTGCGCCTGAGTTGTCTCCTATTCTCACACGTAGTACCGCCTCTCACTTGACACTGGTGTAGTTCCCAGGTTGCGCTAGCTTGCAAACGTGCAACCTGTGCCAAAAAAAGGAAGCAGAGTTGACCTTGTCAACTATACACCTATCTCAGTCACTTCCATACTCTGCAAAACTATGGAACGTGTACTCAACAACCGTCTCCTGTCGTACCTTGAAGACAACGACCTCCTCAGTGATCGCCAGTACGGGTCCCGACGAGGGCGATCTACTGGGGATCTTCATGTGTATGCTTGTCACACATGGAGCGAGGCTATAGAAAAGCAAGGCGGAAGCACTTGCAGTGTCTTTGGACATTTCTAAAGTAAGCTCCCCTATCATGGGCTTCCCACTGACCTTTGCAATTGGATCTCTGATCTCTTGAGCGAACGTTCGATTCGAGAGGTCTTAGAAGGCTACTCTTCCGAACATATGGCGATGAGTTCCTCAGGGTTCCGTACTATCTGCAACTCTCTTTCTGCTGCATATCAATGATATGTTAATTTCAGATACCTTTGCGTATGCTGATGACAGCATAGTTGTAGATAGGTACTTGACCAATGCAAGGGTCAGTGGAGAGGAAATCCAGTCTTGTCGACAGTCCATGGTTAGCCGTTTGGATTTGACGCTCAAGGCAGTCTCCGATTAGGGCGATGCCAATCTTGCCAAATTTAACGCTACCAAAACGCAGGCGACTTTCCGTGATATATCTATATCGATAGCCGAATGTCTCCAGCTATTTGGAATGGACCTGTCGTCCAATTTGAACTTTAGCAGATACATTGAATCCATGGCTAAAGATGCAACAAGGAAGCTTGGCATCTTTTCCAGAGTGAGGCGTTACTTTACAACGGGACAGTTGCTTCAGTTGTACCCAGCGTAAGTCCGGTCGTGCATGGAATACTGCTGCCATCTTTGGGATGGCTCTGCTACATACCAATGGCCACCTTTGATTGAATGAACGGACACGTTGGATTCAATTGACAACTGCGCCAAGAGGCTTATAAGTGACTTGGAATTAGTGGAGGTGAAGCTACAGAGCCTTGAACACCGCCGTAAAGTTGCCTGCTTATCGGTATTTTAGGATATATCACGGAGAGTGTGCGATGGAATTACACGATTTAATTCCGCCTTCCCCTTACCATCACCGGGGGACTAGGCGTAGGCTTGGATTCCAACCCTATGTTGTCGATATTCCAAAGATTCACACGAAGCGTTATGATTCCACATTTATAAGACGAACTGCTATGGAGTGGAATTCCCTGCTTGCAGACCTTGGGTCTCTTCAAGCTGTGACTGAATAGGCATTATTTAAGCGTGTATGCTCCATCGTCGACCTCATCGTCATTTTCCATCAGGTGAGATGAAGGTCAAATGCGCACTTATAATTTATATAAAAAAAGAAACAAAAAAAAAACAAGTCACGGCACTTTAAACTGCACGACTATTTGTCGTCACGACTATTTGTCGTCACGACATAATGGGAACGCGCCCTAAGACACTGTTCTAACAGTTTTTGCATAAGAATAAGTTTGAATAAAGAGTTTAAACAAAAGTCTTTGAACGTGACCATGTACCTAGTTATGACAAGGTACTTATAAAT